CTAAGCATCACCCTTTTTAAATTACAGATCATTTGATCACAGCTGTTAAAGGACTAAGATATTTTGTACTTTACAGGAGGTATGCCTTACCTAATGCTCCAGCGATCACTAGGGAACAGATTTCTCCTGCAGTAGACAACCTCCACCTAAGTGGCCAAGGCAGTAGTGACCTTCGTCCACGCAGCCAAAGCAGTCCTGACCTTCACTCACATGGCCATAGCAGTCCTGATGTTAGCCCACATGGCCAAAGCAGTCCTGACCTTCACCCAAGTTGCTACTACAGTCCTGACTTGTATGCAGATGGCCACAGCACTCCTGAGATCTACTCAAGTCAGCAGACCAGCACTACTATGCTATCCTCAGGCTGGCATGGTCTCTCTGAGAGCCGTTCATCAAGTAAATCGAGCACTGAGACCCTATTAAGGCATGCTAACGTTGAGGTCAGAAGACCAGCCCACAAAAGTAGGGAGATCCATAAAAAAAGGCACTCTGAATCTTCAAGGCACCCTGAGCAACACCACACCAGGGACATCCAGCAAACATCCAGCCTCCAAATTTGTGAGTATATTAGTGTTAGGCTTTTTTCACACAGAGAATGCACTGATAGTTTGTCACGGGATTTTCCACAGGATCATCTGATTTTGGTTCATTCACATTGCCAGTGATTTTCCGCAAACTGTGAATGCTCACACATAAAAATTCTGTAAAGACACGTGACATCAGGATGTGATGATTAATGTACAAATAAGTGTTGTGTACTGTTCCCCTAAGCTCAAGCTTGATCACCTATGGAAAAACACTGCAGATTTTTTGTCATTGTTTCTTTGTCACTGCTAATCATGTTCCCGTGAAACTGTTGATAACATAACAAACACGCAATGCCTGTTATGTTTTCAGTTAAGTAAACACAAATGTGACCTTGGTAATCACAGCTATGGCAACGTGTGCCCTGAGAACATCATGCAGGCACAGCCTCATCTGCACAAAAGCTTTATAAAAGCGGTAGTTATGTAGTGATCCCACTGCATGCTGTCTAATCTGTCTGTCTGTCTTTCTCTTTTTTTCCTCTTAGTCCTTCTTCGTAATATACTAACAAAACAGGAAATGCTGATGGACCAACAGAGAATTATCTTTAAGACCCTCCAGTCTATGCAATCAAGTCAGGAGACGGAGATAGGCCTGGATCGAAATTTGTTGCCACTCAAAGATCTCGGTTCTCTTCAGAACATGGAGGACAATCTGCGGAGTACTCCTGACCTCCATAAACAAATGGTATTTGGCATTTAGTTTTATAACAATAAAACTTAGTTGGCTAACTTTCATTTTCCAAATAAGCTTTTTTTTCTTATCAGCTTTAAAGGATAGTTCACCCAAAAATCTAAATCCTTGGTGTATTCCTCCATTCAGATGAACACAATTGGAGTTATTATTGTGGTGAGTAGTGGTCAACATGGAGTTTGGTTGGTTGAAGACCAAAAAAGTGCATCCATCCATCATAAAAGCAATCCACATGGCTCAAGCGTGTTGTTAAAGACTTTCTGAAGCAAAACAGCATATTTTTGTAAGAAAAAATATCCATATTTACAACTTTATAAGCTTCTGATTTTTGGGTAGTGTAACTTTTTAAGCTAAGCCATGAAAGCCCACACAATAATGAACACTATGTTCTGATCACACTGTTGTAATCGTATGTAAAACTA